AAATATCAGTCTCCTTCTCAAACTCTTCCAAAAAGTTGAAGAACATTTCCAAACTCCAGGCCATCATTATCCTAACACTAAGGACAGATCAGGGTATTACAAGAAAAGAATTATGGGGCAGTATCCCTATAAAATTAAACGCAAAAAACTCTCAACACAATGCCAACAAACCCAATTCAACACTGGATTAAAAGAACCATACACAATGACCGAGTGGGATTTATATGCAAGGATATTTTAATATGTGAAAATTAATAAATACAATCCACCACATTAACAAAGCACAGGATAAAAATCAGATGGTCATCTCAATAGATGCAAGAAATCTTTCAAAGGAATTCAACATCCATTCACAATAAAGGCTTTCAACAAATGGTGTATGGAAGGAATGTACCTCAGCATCATAAAGGTCATACACAACCAGCCCACAGCTGACAGCAGACTCAGTGGTGACAAGCTGAAAGCTTTATTCTTAAGATCAGGAACAAGACAAGGATGCCTACTCTTACCACTACTAGTGAACATAATTCCGTCCTAGCCAAAGCAACTAGGCAAGAAAAAGAAATAAAAAGCATCCAAATCAGAAAGAAAAAAGTAAATTGTCTCTGTTCAGATGACATTATCTTATTCATAGAAAACCATAAAGATGCCAACAAAGAACTGTTAAAGTTAGTAAATTCAGTAAAGGTGCAGGATATCGAATGAAAAAATACAAATTGTGTTTCTTTACAGTAGCAAAAACTACCTAAAAAAATGTAGATTTTTTTAAAAGTCCTACTTATAATAACATCAAAAACAATAAAATACTTAGAAATAAATGTAACCAAGGAGGTAAAAGATGTGTGTACTGGAAACTATAAAACATTGACAAAAGAAATTAAACAAAAATAAATGTAAAGCTATCCTGTATTTGTGGACTGGAAAAATTAATATTGTCAAAATTTCCATATTACCAAAATGATCTATATATCAAACATGATGCCCATCAAACTTCCAATGTCATTTTCCACAAAAATAAGAAAAAAAACCCTAAAATGCAGATGGAATCACAAAAGACCCCCAAATAGCCAAAGTTATCTTGAGATAAAAGAGCAAGCTGGATTTCCTGATTTCAAACTATACTACAAAGCTATGGTAATCAAACCAGTGTGGTACTAACAACATACAAACTAATGGAACAGAATTGAGAACCCAGAAATAAACCCACACAAATACAGTAAATTAACATTGGATAATGGCACAAGAATACACAATAAGGGAAGGACAGCCTGTTCAATAAATGATGCTAGGAAAACTGGATATCCATATGCAAAAGAATGAAATTAGGTCTCTGTCTCACACCACTTAACAAAAATTAACTCCAAGTGGATTAAAGACTTAAATATAAAGCTTCTTTAAGAAAGCATAGGAAAAAAAACCTCCTTGACATTGGCCTTGGTAATGATTTTTTTTTATCTCACTAAAAGCACAAATAATAAATGCAAAAATTAAAAAATGGATCTTAAAATTCATTTAGAAGAACAAGAGTCCTAGAATAGCCAATCAATGCTAAGTCAAAAGAGCAACACTGGAGGTATCAGGATACCTGTGATACTCAGAGCATCAGTAACAATAATTGCATGGTACTAATATAAGAATAGACACATAGCTGGAGTTGTGGCTCAGCGGTAGAGTGCTTGCCCAGTGTGTGTGAGGCCCTGGGTTCAAATCTCAGCACCACATATAAATAAATAGAATCAAGGTCAATCGACAACCTGAAAAATCATTTAAAACAGTTATATAGACCATGGAAAAGAGTAGAAGACAGAGAAACAGACCCACACAGATACAGTCATCTAATCCTTGACAAAGGTGCCAAAACATACATCAAAGAAAAGCCTTTTTAACAAATAGGGCCAGAAAAACTGGTTGTCTGTAGGTAGAAGAATGAAACTAGATCTTTTACTCTCACCCTAAACAAAAGTCAACTCAAAATGAACCAAAACCCTAGAAATTAGACAAGAAACTTTGCAACCCCTAGGAGAAAACATAGGGTCAACACTCCAACATACACGTGCAGGCAACTGCTTTCTCAAGAGGACTAATAAAGTTCAGGAGATAATATCAAGAATTGATAAGTGGTATGTCATCAAATTAAAAGGCTTCTGCACGGCAAAGGGAACAATTAAGAATTTGAAAACAGAGCTTTCAGAATGGGAGAAAAATCTTTGCTCACTACTCTTCTGACAGAGGATTAATATCCAGAATATATAAAGAACTCAACGAACTTCACACCAGCAAAATTAATAACCCAATTAACAAATGGGTAAATGAACTCAAGAGGCACTTCTGAAAAGAAGAAATACAAATGGCCAACAAATGCATGAAAAAAAATGCTCAAATCTTTAGCAAATCAGGGAAATGCAAATCAGAACCACCCTGAGATTGCACCTCACTTGGAATGGGTTAGAATGGGGGGTCATCAGGAACACAGGCTGGGGCTGCGGCTCAGGGGCAGGGCACTGGCCTAGCACCTGTGAGGCACTGAGTTCCATCCTGAGCACCACACACAAATAAACAAATACAACAAAGGCATGCTGTCCATCGACAGCTCCAAAACCAATTTTTTTTTTTAAAAAAAGAAGAAGAATAGAGGCTACACCATGGAATTTATGGAGTTCATTATCAGGTGCTGCCAATAGGAGCTGAGCACCCTTAGCCTTGAGCGATGGGGTGTGGGACCGGCTTGCTGCAGGGGAAAGCTCGTGGACCTCACATCCAATCAGCGGGGGAGTGGAGCTCTGCGAGTGGGCGTCACCCAACGCGATTGGGCTACACCCTCCCTGAAACCCAACCCCTCGCCTCCTATTGGTGGAACTTTTGACCGGCTTCCCCTCAATCATCGGGGCTCCGGGCGCTCTCGCTCTTTTTCCTTGTGGGAGCTGGGGCAGAGGAACTGTCGCTGAACCCCAAGAAAAAGGTATTTCCTCTGACTTTCTGTGAATATTTAGTGCCAGCCCAATTCACCTGGAGTGGCCCTGGCTGATTTAGTCTGGAGTCGCGGCAGTTCGTCTCTCACTTCCAATCACTGACCTTCACTCCACCGCAAGGTGCAAGAAATGACTTCGCTGGCTCCTTCCTCGCGCAGCCTTCATGCCGCTGCCCTCAAAATTACGTTTCTCAGGCTGGGGCTGTCACTCGGCGGGAGAGCCAACTGCCTGGCACATGGGGGGCCCCAGGCTTCAGTCCTCAGCACCACATAAAAATAAATAAATAAAATCAAGGCATTCTGTCCATCTATAACTGAAACCTATATATTAAAAATTAAAAAAAAACAAAGTGCATTCCAAAAAATTAGGTTTCTCCATAGGTTATATATAAACTGCACAATTTATTTTAAAAATTACATTTTTTAAAATTTTATTTATTTATTTTTGTGGGGCTGGGGATTGAACTTGTGCATGCGAGGCAAGCACTCTACCAACTGAGCTATATCCCCAGCCCTAAAAACTGCATTTTAAAGAAACTTGAACATTTGCCCACATTTTTAACATTTCTGATGCTCTTCATTCTTTCACACAGACACAGATTTCTATCTGGTGTTATTTCCCCTCTGCCTGACTCGGGCAATAAAAGACCCCGAGAAACAATTGGAACACATTTCCAAAGTCAATCTTGCCAAAATCCGTGTAGCTAGGACTGGGCAAGGGGAATTCAATTGCCCTTCCCTGCTGGGAACCTCTGGCCAGAGTATCCTGCAGATGCTAAGTGCCTTGCTAACGCAGAGGGACAGAACAAAAAAAACCCTGTTGACTCATGAATACCATGCTGGGCCCTGGAGTCCCAAACATGGCCCACGGGAAACACAACTTACCTGTTCAACCACAGACCCAGAAATGTGGATCAATATTGTCCAAAAGAGGGGCCAGCACAGACTCCCAGGAAGAGGGGCCGTCCACCTGGGTTCATCAAGTTCCTCACGAATTAGATACAGCATCTTGTGCCCAGCGCCTGAGCTTTCTGGTCTTCACGTTTCTAATCTGTTAAATGAGTCTGACACAGGTATTAGACTACCCCTACCTCCCTAGGGAGCCCTTGACAGCTATTACCTTTTATATTGCTACTGTTTCTTCCAATATAGGCCCACTTTGACCCAGAAGAGGATCAGATAGTCTCAGAAAAGTCTATGGTCCTTTCCTCAAGGGATTCCCCATTTGTATTAAAAAGAATATTCGAATGGTGATTCTCCTAGAACACTGCACCAATTTCTATTCTGGGGGAAAAAAAAAACAGAGATTGCAAAGACCACCTGATCTCTCATTGTTTTACAGGGTCTGTCAAATGCAATAAGTCAAGGAGAACACACAACTTTTATAAACAGTGGGAGGATGTCTTTCTAAATTTTTCTCAAATATGATATCATTCTGCCAAAGTCAAGAAAGTCTTGTAAAAAAAAAATCAATAAAATTCAGTAATCGACAGAATGCACTGTTTGTTGGTGAACTAGGCAAATACATTTGAAGAAACCGTGATAGACTTTTCTTTACACGAGTCCCACCGATTAAAAATGGAATGGGTAGAAGACATTTCCATTCTCATCAGTAAAAGTTTATAAAATAATTAGAGGAATTTAACAAGAAGAAGAAAATGAAGCTCTCCAAGCTCTGGCCCCAGTAGGATTGTATTCGGTAGGAATGCCATGTTTGGGTCACCTCAGGTGTTCCCAGTTTGGCCTATTTGTGGCTCCATGCCTGCTGTCCCTCCGGCCTGCCATCGTTTCCTCCCTTTTTCTGTCTAAAGAACTATTTGTCCTTCAGCCTCGCTCCTGTCCCCAGAGCTTGTCCCCTCTGGTTTCCTCCTCTGCCTCCTCTAGACCAGTTTCCTTAGGAGAGGAAAGATGGGGGAGATGCAGTGGTGACAAGGACTCCGGGGAGCCTGGCCGGCCGCCTCCTTAGCCCAAAGCCCGCTCCCCTCTCCCCCCTCCCCGGCGCGCACTCACGGTGGCATCTGTCCCGTTTCAGAGCTGGACATCAAGGACGCCATCGCCCTGGAGTCCACTCAGCGGCCCAGCATGTTCCGCCGGCAGAGCAGCATCGGAGACCCGCTGCTGCAGGAAGCCATCTTCAGCAGCCGCAGGGGGACCCTCATCCGAGACTGGGGGAGCAAGGCGCAGGACGCGTCTTTTGAGCGCAAGCTCAAGACCCTCATGGATAAGAGCACGGAGCCCAAGATGGAGTCCCTGAAGATGCTCAAGCCCGAGGAGGTGCTCAGCTGCCGGTGAGCAGCCCCGGGGCGAGGGGAGTCGGAGCCTGCGCACCCAAGACAGCTCTGACCTTGAGTCCCAAAAGACGGTTCCAGCCGGAGCCAGTGGGTTCCCCAGCAGCCTCACCTGCCCGTGGGGCCACCCTTCCCATAGCTGCATTGGTTACCCAATAGAAGCCATGAATAGTGCTCAACAAGGAGAACAGTGACCCCTGCCCATGATCCCAGCCAGAGGGAGGCTGAGGCAGGAGGATCACAAGTTGAGGCCAGCCTCAGCGACTTAGCCAGAACTAGAGATGAGAGGTGTATCTGGTAGTCAATTGCCTCTGGGTTCAATCTGAGTGGGGGAAAACCACCAGACCAGTGTGGTCTGGTCTTAACAGGAAGTTCTACTAAGATCCTTCACACTGTGGGGTGGAGGGGTAGCCACAGTCCCCAGCAGCATCCTGCTGTATTCTCCGACCTTTAGACTCCCAGCAGGACCATGAACCCAGTGAGGCCATTTGACGTGGGCTGCTCTTACCAAAGGCCCCCCTTCTTGCTTGCTCACTCATTTATCAGGACTCCCTGTTTCTCAGCTTGGTCTCCCTTCCCTCTCCCCCCTCCAAAAACAAACAAACAAACAAACAAACAAACAAAAAAAGCAAGGCTCCCCCTCCCTGGCCCAGTGTCATCCTTACTCTAAAGACATAAATGACAAAGTCCCCAAACAGTAGCTGAGGGGAAAGGAGACAGCAGAGTGACGTGGTCATCCCTGTGAGATCAACATCAATAAACACATCCCTGGTGTCACACGGCCACCACCGTGGCAGGAAGTCAGGTGGCCCCGCTGCCACGTCTGCTCTGCTTCCGGCCCGGCTGAGGGGCTGGTGAGTGGGGACGGTTTACTGGCTGCAGGATGAACCGGCAGAGTCCCCAGCTGGTGGCCCTGGTGGGCGATCCACGGCTGGGTGACTTTGGCTGTGGCTTTCAGACCAATCGTGTGTTGACTCTGACTCTGACGCCAGGGTGGGAAGGAAAGGGATTTGGAGAGGACTGTGGCCCCCCAAGGAGGGGGAGAGAGTATTTCAAGAGACCCACGTGGGAGCCGTTGTAAAAACCCGCGAGGGAAGGATGCGGGGGCTCAGAGTGGGCTCAGGAAGAACGCCCACGGGGGACCTCAGAGGCTGGTCAGGGAGTGGGGGGGCTGTGGTTGGAAAGGGTGGTCCGGGTGTGGGGATAGGTGAGCTCTGGGAGGTTCTGGAAGGAGGAAGGAGGCCATTCCCGTCAAAAGGCCCCTCCTCCTCCACCATCTGTGACAAAGCACAACCAGCAGGTGGCCTGCGTGCCCTGCTGAGGTCAGGGTTGGTGGTGGCCAGATCGGCAGGGGTGCTTTCTAGAACCTTCAGTCAAAATGGAATCATCCTTCACACACGTCAGATTGTGGGGCTTCAGAAAACAGCGCGATCCGTGTCCTGAGTATGACTCGCAGAAAGCGTGCGCTGCTGTCCCCAGCGCTGTCGGCCATGATTCCCCCATTCCGTGTTTCCCGAGGCCCTGGGCGTCTCCCGGAGCAGGGGCCTCGGAGGAGACACCGCACACAAGGATTCACACTCCAGGTTCTTCTCCCCGCTTGGCTGCAGGCGACAGCCGCGGTACACTTGCTTCTCGCCAGTGCCATTGTGATTCTGGCATTTTCATTAAGAGCCTCAGATGGGGACAGTCGGCGCTTTGCTTAGGAATCCCTCTGCTGATGGGACAGCTCAGGTCCCTGTTGCTGAGGACGCCCCCCCACCCCGCGCCCTGTCTCCTCCGCAACTTCTCCTTCCCCTGACCCTTGAGACGGGTGGAGGCTTCAATCAGCTCTTCTCACGCCTGTGACTGAGAGTCTGGACCAGAACCCACTGTAGAGGCTCAGGGCTTCGGGGTCTCAGGCCATAGACAGCCGACTTCATTCCTGGGGCTGGGCGTGAGGCCGAACCCCTGTGGAAGGATGTGCTGGAGGGGAGCGGCTGGCATGGTGATCGGGGAGCAGAGAGACCCCCCAGGTGACACCCCACAGCCCGCCCTAGTGACCCACTCCTCCGGCCACACCCTGCCCCCCTTCACGGCTAGTGTGTGTCCCCTGGAGAGGTCGCACCCTGTGCTACTTAGAGGTAAGGACAGAGGCCACCCTGACGCCACTTGCAACTGCCAGCCCTCCTCCTGTGCAGGTACCTGAGACTGTCCAAGAACAACATCCGGACCCTGCTCAAGCTCTGCAGGGACGCGGGGCTCAGCATGGACATCCACCCCCACATGACCGAGTCCGAGATCGATTCTAAGAAGGTCTTCGGCCGGAGTTCCAGCGCAACGCCCTGAGCCGTCCTGGCCTCGCAGCCTGCGGGTCCTCCTGCCCTGGGGCCCTTGGCCACCAGGTGCCGGCCGCCCTCTGGCCGTGGCCACAGCCCCCCAGACACAGTGCGTCTCTCTTCGACCGTGACACTGGGACTGTGTGCGTCCTGGAGCCTGGGTAGGCTCTGCCTCGACACCCAGGTCCAAACCCCCCTGAAATAAACCGTGTTTCTCCCCCTGCCCCAGGAGAAGGAGGTCTTAGTGACACAGTGGGGACGCAGAGTCCCCAAAGCCACCCCAGGAAGGGCAGAAGGTGCAAGGGCTGGCGGGGACTCCTGTGCAGGACAAGGAGATTCACCCAGGGGACAGGGGACAGCTTCGGTCAACGAGGGGACTCTCGGGGACTCACGCCCACGGGCCTTCCACCTCGGAGCTGGGAGCTTTCAGAGCTGGTAGGGAGCCTGACGTCTGTACGTCCAGGACCTCGTTATTCCCTTGAAGCCAAGACCAGAGAGGGTAAGAAACTTGGCCAGAGTCACACAGATGAGGAATGGCAGGAAGTAAACAGGGTCCTCACCTCGGCCTCCTGATCCACCTTCTTGCATGGCAGAGACCACGGGCCAACCCTGCAGGACTGTTCAGAGATAGGTCCTCCCCATCCTGGCACCTCTGCCAGTCAGAGCTACAGACCCAAGCCCCTCTAGTCCCCATAAGCATTTCAATTAAGTTTGAATCCCGACTGCCTCACTTATTAGCTGTGTGACTTTAAGTAATCCACTTTACCTCTCTGTGCCTTTGTTTATGCATCTGCAAGATGGTACTAACGATGGTAGCTGCTGAGCAGCGTTGCCTGAAGAGTAAAGGAGAGCTTGCAGGTGAAGCAGGAAGCCCAGACGTTGACACCTAAGAGCTGTTCCCATGGTCCCCTGGGCTGGGTAAGGGACTGACTTCCCAGTGGCTGCGTTCCTAGAAACGATCCTCAAAATCAGGCCTGTGCCTGTCAATCAAGCAACATTAAAAAGCTACTGGGGCCAAATCTAGGTCCTCCCGGGTAAACCCCAAAATGTGATGGTCCCAGGGTCTGAGAGCTAGTACACAGCCCAGGGAGCAAGACTCGTAAAACCACCCGTGTGCACAGCGCTCCAGCTGGGCCCAGCGAGCCACCGTGACTGTTGGACTCCACATGCCACAGCAACATGAGCAGAGCTCAGTGAGCCCTGTCATATGAGGATAAAACCACAGCAAAACCCACCAGAATCTCAAGAAACCAGGTGCATATGATGAGACGACACTCCTTTCCAGTAAACACCTGTTCCTTTGAGAGAAGCAGCAGTTCAAAAGTGGAAAAGGAAAGTATTTTGGGGAAAAAAACTATATTAGTCCATTTTCTGTTCCTATAATAAAATACCTGAGGCTGGGTAACTTAGAAAGCAAAGAGGTTCATTTAGTTCATAGCTTTGAAGGCTAAAGATTCAAATGGTAGAGCAGTGGCTCTTGCCAGGGCCTCATTGGCTGGATCTCACTCCAGCAGATGGCCTGATGGCAAGAGCACACAGAAGGCAACGATCACACGGCAAGACAGGAAGCCAGAGAGGGGGAAGGGCCAGCTTGCTCTTTCCTGACGACCTTCTAGGAGAAGTAACCAGGGTCCCACCGGCCCTGCCCCCAGTGCCCTCCCATGAGGCCCTGCCTCTCACAGGTCCTCTCAGATGTCAATCACCTCTCAGAAGGCCGTACACAGGAAATGCTGGGGGCACACTCAAACCAGATCCCAACCATAGCATTGTCCAGTGTTAGGAGCCCTGTCGATAGTATCTCAGCCAAAAGCAAAACCCAGAACCATCTTCAAACCTCACTCCTGCAGACCCAGCAAGTCAGGAGGAGGTTCTGCCAACCTCTCTCCTGCATCCAGTGTCTTCGCTTCCAGGAAGTCCTTCAGCCTGTCCAACCTGCCTCTCTCTTGCTGCAGTTCCAACTATTTTCTCTCACTCCAACCCCTGTGGAAGGGAAGAGGTCGGGTCTCATTGTCTAGTAAATATTTGTGTTCAGGAAGGACAGGGATGAGGAGCAAATTAAATAACAGATTAAATGGCCCTGAAAAGTTACATGTCGGATATGTCAACCACAGCAATGGAACACGACAGCGGCCGTGTAGCGCCTCATCTTCAGACTTGATCTCCCCCGTAGTTTTCCACCTACAATTCAGTTTCTCTCTCCAGGATCATTACCACGTCTCTCCTTAAAATGAATGGCCAAGAAGAGTCTCAGCCAAGGTCTTTAATAAGGCATGAAGCCCATGGCTGAATTATTTTCCAGTAATAAGTGATGACTTTGGGGTTTTATTTATTCATCCTTTTTCTTGCCCTGCACCAGTTGCATTATATGGTTGGATTTCTGCATTCTCCTTGTGGTCCACTAAGACCCCTGGATCCTTTCCTGTAGAGCTGGAGTGGTTTACTTCTTCCCTCCTTCCAGGTAGCACTAAGAGGTCTGAAGGCAAAGGATCCAGGGCCCAGCATCCCGTCCCTCTCCCCGTCACCTGGTGCAGTGTTCGGGGTGATGGACAGCAGGCGGATATTTGGGATTCCAGTTCTCCATGACTCTGTTCACACAGGGCTTAGCGTCCCAAGGACAGAGGAGGAACCAGTCACGTGCCAAGGAGAGCCAGGGATGGAGGCTCCTCCCCGTAGCCTGGGGGAAGGGGAAGGGGAAGGGGAAGGGGAAGGGGAAGGGTAGGAAGACTTTCGGGAAACAGAGGAGCTCAGGCAAAACTTGTGGATAAAGAGGAGTCACAGGGGCCTTTGAGTGAGATGCAGGGGAAGGTCCAGGGAACCAAGTCTGCAGCCAGGGACAGAGTGGCAGGTGGCGGAGCCCGCATTAGCTGAGTCTGGATGGAGGGGACAGTGGACAGGAGAGCGGGGTCGAGAGACCTGTGCACGGAGGGCTCGGGAGCCGCACAGGCGTTTCTCCCTGGAGTTGTTCTTCATCCACTTCCCACACAGTGAGCACCTACTATGGGCCCGGAACTCTCTTAGTGACTAAGGTCCCCACGGTCACCTTCTGGCTTTCACGGAGCCACAGGGCTGGGGACATAAGCTGAATGGTATCACAGGACACTGGGGGGCATTCCAGTTGGGAGACACACGCGCTTCGGCAGAAATTCCCGCAAGAAGTGAGAAATTGAAAGTGAGGTGGAGGGGCAGGAGGAGCCTGGGCAGAGGGGAGGGGACCGCGGCTTGAGGGTAGGACTCTCCGGGGAAAGAGTTGAGCTCATGCCTGAAGGGCAAGACGGAGATCAGGGGACGTGCTCCCGCAGAGGGGAAAGAGATGAAGGTCAGCAATGGCTGAAGCAGCAAGGGAGGGAAGAGCCAGGGACATGCCTGGGTCTTGTAGGCTGTGGACTAGAGCTTGCATTTCATTCTGCTTGTACAAGGGAACCACTCTGGAGAATAATGAATAGAGAAGAGATCCCTGTGGCTTCTCAGAAGACAGAATATTCTAAGAGGGGAACTGAAGGCCTAGAGATTAGTAAAGAAGTTGTATCAGTTAGCTACAGCTGTGTAACAAATGAACCCAACACACAGAATACAATTTCCCAGGAGTCTACAGGTCAAGAGAGCATTTCTGCCCATCCTGGCCAGGCTCAGGGGACCTAGACTGGGCACGGGGGTCTGTGGTCAGCGAGTGGGGTTAGCTGGGGTCCTGGCTGGCCTAGGACGGTCCTGCTGGGATGGCCGGTCTCTGCCTCAGACCCATCATCTTCTAATGGGTGGGCCTGGGCTTGTACTCAGGGTGTGGCCGAATTCTAGGAAGCAGGCAAGCCCAGGTGGCGGCCCATGTCAGAACCTGCACACAGCCACGCTGCCCTCGTTCTAGAGTGACCACAGTAAGTCCCAAGATCAGCTCAGATTCAAAGGAGGAGAAATAAGCCCCCACCTGCTGGAGGAAAGAACCGCAGGGAACCGCCGCGGAGGAACCGAATGCAGGAGGAGCCAAGGACAGTGGCCACTTGTGCAAGTGACAGAGAATTTGGCTCTAAACAGGGTGATCGTGGTGGGCGCGAATGACCAAGAAGACATTTTGAAGATAGAGCTGAAGGAATCTGGCCCCGGGCTGAATGTGAGCGTGTCACAAAGGACTCGGGCTGACCCTTGGCCATGCTGTGGCCTGAGCCAGGGTCGGTGCTCAGTAAAAGGAGGCGGGGGAGGGGAAAGGGAGGAAGGCGGGAGCCGGCGGGGCGGGAGGACAGCACCCACATGCTGTTCCAGTAACCGCCAGGGGCCAGGGACAGGCTGGCATTAGGAATGCCATTGGAATTCTGAGCCAGAGAGCGACCTGGGGAAGGATGGAGGAGCAGACCCGGAGACAGGCAGCGTTCACTCCTAGGGCTGCTGTGACCCAGGCCCTCAAAATGGGAGGCTGGACACTTTGACTCAGAGTCTGGAGCCTGGGTGTCTGAAACCAAGGTGTCGCAGCTCTGCGGGCTCCCAGACCTCGAGGCGAGAATGTTGGTGGCTTCTCCTAGCTTCCTGTGCCCCAGGGCTTCCCTGTCACCTGGCAGCAGAACGCAGTCTCTGTCTGGGGTTCACTTCTCTGGGTTTCGGTCCCTCCTCCTCCTCCGTCTTCTCCCTCTCCCTCTCCTCCTCCTCCTCCGTCTTCTCCCTCTCCCTCTCCTCCTCCTCCTCCGTCTTCTCCCTCTCCCTCTCCTCCTCCTCCGTCTTCTCCCTCTCCCTCTCCTCCTCCTCCTCTGTCTTTGCAATGCTGGGACTGAACCCAGGACCTTGGCTCTACCTCCGAGCCACACCCCCAGCCCTGCCCCCTTTTCTCACGAGAATCAGGGCTCACCCCAGAGGACGAGTCCCCACCTGACTACATCTTATAAAGATCCTCTTTGCAGATAAAGTCACTTTCCCGAGCATCAGGGAGGTAGATCCCGGCACATCTTCTCAGGAGACACAACCCAACCCATGATACCAGGACATGGAAGGTGAGGAGTGGGGGGCCCAGAGAGGGGCAGCGGATCCCCCCAGATGCTCCTGAGTTCATGGCAGAGCTCACCATGGAGCCACATGCCTGCCGCCCTGCCGACCTGGCCCCACAGCCACACCCTGATACCCAGGGACGGTACCAGAGCTGGAGCCCCAAGCTGGTGGGACCACTGTCCACCCCCACATTGGGACATCCAGAGGCAGAGTTACTGGGGGATTTCCCCCTGAACCCCTGAGGCCCACGGTTACCTTAG